TGCAGCCTTCACTGGAACTTTGGGAGCAGGAGGTGGAACGAGAATGGAAATGGGCTTTGAGGTCTTCACTCAACCAGATAGGACCAGAGCAGCTTCTGGTGCCAGAGAAGCAGACCAAGGAGGCTCTGAGAGTCCCTGGGTCCGAGGCCCCGCTCTAAACACAAGCAAGCTGCTGCCTTGCTCTGAACCTGTTTCCCCATCTGGAAAACGGGGCTGCTTACCACAGTGGTTTCCAGACTTTCAAGTTTTTCCCTGGTGGAGGCATACACTTTTTTTTTTTTCCTTTTTCTTTTTTTAGATGGAATCTTTCTCACTCTGTTACACAAGCTGGAGTGCAGTGGCACAATCTGTCACTGAAACTCCACCTCCCAGGTTCAAGCAATTCTCCTGCCTCAACCTCCCAAGTAGCTCAGACTAGGCATGTGCCACCATGCCCAGATTATCTCTGTAATTTTAGTGGAGACGGGGTTTCACCATGTTGGCCAGGCTGGTCTCGAATTCCTGGCCTCAAGTGATCCACCTGGTTCGGCCTCCCAAGGTGCTGGGATTACAGGCGTGAGCCACCGCGCCCATCCGCATATACTTTTTATTCAAATTAAATTTTCCAGGGAAGGCCGCTGGGTAAAACAGGACAAAGTGGAGCTGGTCTGGGGGACATGGGGGTCCAGGGGGCTGGGATTAGGAACTGGGTCATCGGTGACGTGGTCCCCAGGTTTCCTCCCACCGTGGATTCCAGGAATCCCTCATTCCACGAACCTCTCCGGCCCTGCCCACACTCCAGAGCCGTGGGTCCCCAGTTCAAGCAAAGCTCCCCCCAGATCCCCTTGTCGGCCTGGGTCTCACATCCCCGACTCCGGGACCTGATGGGAGCCCCTCTGCCTGCAGCTCCCACTGCGTGAGGGTGGAGCACTTCATGAACCGCAGCATCACCACACTGGCCAAGGACACACCACTGCAGGAGGTGGTCAAGGTCGTGACCTCCACAGACATGGCCGAGTATCCCCTGGTGGAGAGCACAGGTGCCAGCCGGAAGGGAGGAGGAAGTCGGGGGTGGGGGATGCCCTCTGCCTCCTTCTTGGACCTGTCAGGCAGACAGGATCTGCATCCAGGCTCTGTGACTTAGCAACCAACCGTGTGACCTTGGGCAAGTCACTTCACGTGAGCCTCAGTTTCCTCATTAGTAAAATGGAAATCATGGCCACCCTCCCCTGGGGTGGTTGACATGTCTAAAGAGAGTCGGCTGGGTGCTTGTAAGGCAGTTCCTGGGTAGCTGCTGGGGTAGGAGCATGGGGACACCACTAGGGTCTTCTGGAAGCTTCCCTACAGGCCACCCTTTAAGCATTCCCCAAATGAGACCCCTCCCCCAAATCCCTGTTGCCATAAGGTAAACATCTCCTTAAAGACAAAAGCATGGTGGCCCTTGTTAAAAGGCATGGAACCCGCTTCTTGCGGAAAGCTTAACTAGAGCATCATTTCCTGTGGGTACAACTCCAGTATCTGCATTCAGAAGATAAGGTGGGGTTGGGGGGTAACCCTGCTCACTCAAGTCTGCTGTCAGCCCATGTGTCCCCCTGTGCAAATGAGATAAGGTGCACACCTGGCAAGCACATCACAGCTGGATTTTGGTCTCCACTTGCACTTTGGGTAGGCACCTTGTGCAGTGAGCAACCTGTACAATAGGGGTCACCCCTATGCCCACCCCAAGAGGGATAAAGCCACTTATGAGCTAAATAACTGTGAGTATACCACTTAAGCTCTATGTACTGCATTTTCATCATCTTGAAAGTAGGGATCAAGAGAGTATATGATTGCCAGACATTTTCACTCCAAATGCTAGGCCCTTCTTTCCCCACTAATTGGAAGACTGTTAGCATTATGCTGTGGAACATGCCAAATATCTCATCTGAAAATGTTTGCTTTCAGATGAGCCCCCCAAGAATCTTCACCTCCTGGAGCAAAGAAAGAATTAGCCTCGAAGACAAAGTCCTCTTTTACCCTTAGAGCCATAGCAAAGTGCTCCAACCAACACAGGCCCAGGCTGTGGGACCCCACTGCTTACCCAAGAAATAGCCTTCATTGTTCATTTAAAAGGGAAGGGGGACATTTACATGTCTAAGTGTCAAGTTTTTATTTCACTCAACAGAAAGCAAAAACACCAAGCTGGGCCCTCAAAACTAAATATCTGACAATGCCATTGATACCCCAGGGCCAGAGTGAAGCTTGCCAAGGCCCCAGCACACAGTAGGACCTCAGAACACAGGGTCCTCCTGGGTTCGCACCTTCACTGGGCTGCGCCAGATGTGAAGCCTCTTGGGAAACGAAGGAGAAAGCCCAGCCCTGACACACAGACTTCATCGTGCTGGCGTCCCCAGCTTGCTCCTGTCTTGAGACCTTGCAATGTGGGGGATCTCAGTGGTGGCCAGGGTCCCTCCTGGCCCCCTGGTAGCCTCACTCAGCCACCCTCAGCTACCACACCTGAATGACCTGGGGCAAGACAATTAGCCTCTCTGTCTCTGAGCCTCAGTTCCTGTCCTTTATAATGGGAGACAATAGTTACAACAGCCCCATAGGAACACCAGGACAGTTCTTGGCTAAGTAGGTGCTCAGTAAATGTGAGTTCCTGTTTCCTCCTAATGCGCCTCCCTCCCTCTCCCTCTCCACTTGCCAGAGTCCCAGATCCTGGTGGGCATCGTGCGAAGGGCCCAGCTGGTGCAGGCCCTCCAGGCTGAGCCTCTTTCCTGGGCTCCAGGACACCAGGTGGGTACTCCTGAGGGGCGTGGGGAAGGAGTGGGGGTCGGTCAGCAGCGCTGGGACAGGAGGGGCCTGCTGATCTCCTGAGGGAGAGGTGGTCTGAGAGAGGCATCCTGGAGAGGCTGGCCCTGCACCTGTAACCCTTCCCCTGTAACCCTTCCCCACTCCCAGCAGTGTCTCCAGGACATCTTGGCTGGGGGCTGCCCCACGGAACCAGTGACCCTGAAGCTGTCCCCGGAGACTTCCCTGCATGAGGTAACAGGGAGAATTGGGGAGTGTGGCATATGAGGCCCCTGGGTGGGGAAAGAGCTGATGAGGAGCTCAGGCTTCAGCCTCCCCTCCCAACCCGCGCCCCCGCCCGCCTTATGCTGCTTCCTTCCCCTCCTGGGCCTGTGTCCTCATCAGCAGACTGGGCAAAGCAGCTCCTGCCCTGTTGCCCCTCACTGCCAGGGTTGCGGGGATGATGCAGAGAGATGAGGGAAGTGGGAGAGTGGCAAATGTTTAAGTATCTGGGTGGAAAGACAGTGGAGTTGAACCAGGGCACACGTGCACTTCAGTTTCAGGTCCACCACATTCTCCCTGTGTGATCTTGCACAAAAGACTTAACCACTCAGGACAGAGCCTGGCACATGGGCGGGGAAGGGGCAGAGGCCCACAGGAAACCTGGAGATGGTCCTGTCACCTCTGTGCTGCTGGAGGGTGCTGGATATTGGGTCCTGTTCACCTGTGGTCTCGCCTAGACCCTTGCATGGACTCTGGCATCTCCCAGTGGCCACACTGGACATTGCAGGCCTGGATCTCTTGCCTCCCACACACATCAGGCCCGGCCCCTCTTCCTGGCTCAGAGGCCTGGCAGAGTGGGCCAGAGGGTGGGCTGGGTGCCTTCTACCCTCCAGTGTTTCCTAACAATCCCCCATCCAGGCACACAACCTCTTTGAGCTGTTGAACCTTCAGTCCCTCTTCGTGACATCGCGGGGCAGAGCTGTGGGCTGCGTGTCCTGGGTAGAGGTACCAGGGTCCCAGGGGCAGAGCAAAGCAGGGGACCCATGCCTGAGAAGGCTGGGGAGGTGGGGGGACACCGGCATGCTCCCATCCAAACCTGGGGGGATTCAGAGGATACTGATGAGTCCCTCTTCCTGGCCCAGATTGGCCACTGGGCCTGGCTCCCCTATCTTGTTTCCTGGCCAGTGGCCAGCCTGCCCCTCTCTGCCTCAGTGATCCCATCTGTGCAATGGGGTGGCACGGGCTCTACTATTCAGCCAGAAACCACCCTTAGAGGACTAAAAATGCTGGTGTTGTCCTGTCAACCTCCTCTACATCCCCTCTCCAGCCCCCTCCCCCTTTCTCTGTTCTAGATGAAGAAAGCAATTTCCAACCTGACAAACCCACCAGCCCCAAAGTGAGCCAGTCCAGCAAGATGAAACAGGGCACCCCAGCTGCCTGGTACTGAGGTTGGGCTGAGACCCTGCCTCTCTTTCCCTGTCACCCCTTACCCCCACTCCAACCCAGCTCCATTCCTTGGCATAACAGACAACTCTAACCTAGCCGGGAAGAAGATGGCTCATCCTGGGTGTGACGATGGCTCCTGCCTTGAAAGATAAATCCCACCTTGGACAGAGCTGAGTGTGAGATGATGGAAAACCAGTATCTGCCAGGTGCTCAGTGACTGGCCATCACATTAATGAATAATGAGATTGGAGTACGCTGTCACCAAGGGCAGGCACAGATGCCCTCTGGGGTTGTCTGATTCCCAATGAGAAGCTCCTGAGAAAAATAAAGCTGGTTCCCAGAGCCGCTGTCCATCCCTCATCTCAGCTGCAAGGTTGCTGGCCTGGGACTGGAGCTCCTCACCTGTGCTGGCCCAGAGTGAGTTTCCCGTGGTCACGTGGACACTGCAGGCTCGGGCCCCTGGACTCCTCCTCATGCTCCACTTCTTGGCAGGGAGATGCCAGGGAGAGGGTCTCCCACCAGGTCTATGATGCTTGTCCTCATGGATAAGCAGGACCCTGTGTCGCTTAAGCCCTAGTCTCCTGCTTGGCTGAGCCACAGTTTAAAAAGCTGAGTCCCCAAGTGTAACTCCCTGGGGAGTCCACTGAGACTTGGGCATCCTCCGTGGGCCCTCTCTGGCTAGGTGGGAGCAGGTTGACCAGCTACGTGAGCATTGGCAGTAGGGACATTCCCCGACTCCCTCCGGACTTCGTCCAGGGGCCCAAGGTCACATCTTCCCAGCAGAGACCAGGCCAAGGTCATCCAGAGTGAATCGACCACTTTAATGTCCTCAGAGAACCTTGAGTGAGATGGGAGGGAGCTGCAAGGAACGAGAGTGGGCTCCCGGGGGCGAGGAGCAGGGGACACCGAGGAAGCAGGTTCAGAGAGGGAGGGACAGACAGACAAACACTCCAGAGAGACAGATGTCCTGGTGAGGACAGCCGGGGAGCAGGTGCTTAGCTACCAGAAGTGGCCACCCCACTTTTGCTTGGGGGTAGACACACAGATAGAGTGGGGAGGGACTGAGCCCCAGGTACAGGCAGAGTTCCCAGACTCCCCTCTAAGTGGGTCTCAGTTCTCTCCATGGCTGTCCTCCTGGGGGCCTGGCTGTTGCTCCTCTGGGCCAGGCTGCCCTGGTGTCTCTGAGAGTCCTTGAGTTCCCTGAGGGCAGACACCCTGCAGGGGAAGGTGCCCACCTGAGTGAAGTAATGAGGGGGGAGGGGTTATGGCTGCCACTGCTGGGGCAGGTCTGCCGAGGCACAGAGAGGCCATGATGAGCGCTGGCCCCATCCCTGCCACACCTGCCCTGTGCCTACCCGAGGTGTCAAGAGATGCCCTGCCCTGGACCCCGGGATCCAGATTTGCCTGGACTGCCCACCAGGCGACGTCATGGTGTGAGCAGGTGCCTGACCAGCACGGCCCCCGCCTCAGTTATAGAACACCTCGTCCTCCTCCTCCCAGAGGGAACCGCTGTCCACGGAGGGAAGGGATCCTGGTAGGTGCGTCCCATCCTCGGGTCCTTGGTGCCCGGGCCGCCGCCGCCGATGCTGCAGCTCTGGGCTGGGGGGCTGCGGGATGCCAGCGGTGCTGGGGGGCTCCTCCAGTGAGGGACAGCTGTCAGGGGAGAGGCTGGACGAGGAGAAGGCCTGAAGGCTGTCATCCTGCGAGGGGCCACTGGGAAGGCTGTCCTGAAGGTAGATGCTCTCCAGATCTGGAAAAGCAAAGGGATGACGGGGGAATGGAGTCCCGAATCTGGCTCTTCGCCTTCTCTGGGGGTGTGAGAAAGGGCAAGGGGCAGAAGACCTGCCTCCAAATCCAGCTTCTGGCGAGCGTTGTGACCTTGGTCAAATCACCAAAACCCTCTGAGCCCCAGGTTCCTCCTCGAGGCAGTAAACAGAGGAGTCAAGAGTGGGCTTGGCGCCAGCCTGTGCTCTCTGAGAACTGGGACAACCAGTGCTCCCCTGGGCCTCTGTCCCCTCCCCGTCCCTCTCCATCTGTCAGGGAGGATTAAGCGCAGGCTTCCCCCAGGGCCAAGGCTCCCTGAAGCCCTCTATAGTAACCTGGGCTTCTAGAAAGGCGGTTGCTTGTGTCTGGTGCTAAGTTTCAGATCCGGCTCTGACGCTTCTAACTGTGTCATTTGGAGTAAGTTTCTGAACCTCTGAGTGCCTCTGTTTCCTTATTTGTAAAATGGGGACGACAGGACCCCCTCCCTAGGGCTGCTGTGAGGATTCCGGGAGATGCCTCGTGCACAGCCCTCAGTGCGATAAGCACTCGATTCCCGCCCCCACTGTGCTCATTCTCTCCTTCCTGCTCCTGGCACTGCCGGGCAATGGGCAGGGCCAGGATCACTGCCGCATTTTACAGATGAAGAAACTTAGGCTGAGAAAAGGAAGGGGCTTGGCCGAGGTCACACTGCATTTGGTGGTGGGCAGGCATCCAGCCTCAGCTCCGCTCTGCCCACCCCCACCCCCGCACCTCCTAGGCTGTACCTTGGAGCTGGACGATGCCCTGGGGGCTGTTCTCGGGGTGCAGTTCCTCGTCGTCCAGCGAGGACCAAGCGCTCAATGTGGCCTCTGTGATGGCAAACTGCTCAGCGACCCCTGCCGGGACAGCGAGATCTGGCTCAGTGGGGGATGGGTGGGGACAGTCTCAGTGCCTGATAGAGCTGCTCCAGGACAAGCTGGAGGGTGGCCGCCTCTCAGCGCTGCCCATCCACGCCCCAGCGGTCAAGAATGTTCACTTAATAGCCCCCCACCCTATGCCATTATTGTTTCCTGCCCAGAGAATGTCCATGCACTGATCTGGGCCCCCCAAGGTCCCAGCTTCACCCCCACAGAGCTCTGGCCAGTCCCCCTCCTCACTGACCTGCAGCAAAGCGGGCCTCACGCAGCTCGTCCGGGAGGCAGCAGTAATGCTCGTCCTCAGCTGGGGACAGCTCCCAGCCCGCCCGTTGGGCACTCCAGCCCTTCCACTCGATGAGGTGGGCCACTCGGCCTCGGGCCATGGCCGTGGGCTTTGTGATGTGGTCCTTGATGCTCTGCACCACCCCTGGGGCATGGAGGGCATCTGGGCGACTGTCCTGACACAAGACCCAGCCCAGGGCCTGGCCTCCATGCCTCAGGCCCACCTGGTGGCCTGTATCCCATATTCCGTCAGTGTGCCACAGTCTCCATCAGTGCCCCACACCTCCCCAAGGGCCTATACCCATCTAATTCCTCATGCCCTCCGAAGCCTCCTTCTCCTGCCCTGAGCCCTTTGAGCTCTGCGGCCCCCTCCCCTCAATGCCCCCACCCACAGGCATCCGCATTTCCTCCCAGCATCCTACTGCTAGTCCATGTTCCCACCCACTGGGTGCTTCTTCCCCAGATCGCCCACACCCTCACTCCCTTTCTAAGTTCAGACCCTTCCGCCCAAGGAGATCCACCCAAGGACCACTCATGAGCCCCCAGCTTTCTCCATGATCCATTAAACACATTCTGAGAGAGCATCTCTGTAGCCTGCCAGCTCTGCTGAAGGTGAGAGCTGGGTGGGTAGAGCAGGCAGGGAAGGCTTCCTGGAAGAGGGGACCTGGGATTGAAATTTGAAGGTGGGTTGGGTTTGAACATTTGGAGGCAAGACCGGAGGCTTTTTCAGTGATGAGAGAGGATGAAGGCATGGAAGAGTCTGGTGTGAGCTCAGGAGTAGCTGGGGTGAGACATGGGGTCCACACTAGGACTGGGTGATAGGAGAAGCTGGGAGCTGATCAGGGCCAGAACAGGGTTGGGGAGAATAAGGTGGAGGGCTCACGTTCCTGTGCAGTGGGGAGCCCCAGCAGAGTAATGAGCAAGACAGTGAGCAATTAGCACAGCTGTTTAGAAAGACACCCCAGTTGGAGGATTAGGGGTTACTGCAGGGACCCAGCAACAGACATGGCAAAGGCTGGGCAGACAGAGAGGAGGGGTCGGGGGCTTTGGGAGTAGAGCTGTTGGATATGTAAAATGGAGAGGGGGCTGCCAGGAATGGGCCAGCATCACCATTAACCAAAGCTGAGAACAGATCTGGGAGTCACCCAGGTCCCGGAAGCCATGATGTGATGTGAGGAATGGCAATATTTAAGTAGGAGGAGTATCCACAAAGGTAATTAGAGAGTGGGGAAAACTGGCTGGGCGCGGTGGCTCAAGCCTGTAATCCCAGCACTTTGGGAGGCCGAGGCGGGCGGATCACGAGGTCAGGAGATCGAGACCATCCTGGCTAACACGGTGAAACCCCGTCTCTACTAAAAATACAAAAAACTAGCCGGGCGAGGTGGCGGGCGCCTGTAGTCCCAGCTACTCCGGAGGCTGAGGCAGGAGAATGGCGTAAACCCGAGAGTGAGCTGAGATCCGGCCACTGCACTCGAGCCCGGGCTACAAAAAAAAAAAAAAAAAGAGAGTGGGGAAAACAGGAAAGATGGGAGTGTGGAAGAAAGTGGAGACTCTCTCTCCCACCCACTTAGTTGGTGAGTGTTGGCAATTGGAGAGGATGTTTTGTAGGAAGTGGGGGTTCAAGTGGCCCTTGAAGGGCAGTTGAGGTGGAGGAAGGTGCTGGAGATGGAGGAAAGGCACAGGCCATCGTGGGGAGGGAGGGCCCCAGGGGCCTCAGGGGAGCTGGGTGGGATTTAGTGCTGGGGCCACCTGATGCTGTGGTGGCCACCGAAACCCCCTCTACTGGCCTGGGAGCCCATGCCCAGCTGCTTCAGGTGCTGCTGCTGTCAGCTCACACCCTTATCTGGAGAACCACCCTGAGCTCCTGGGAGCCTCCTCACCTGGAGATGCCGGGAGGCTGCGGAGTCCTCCCCAGGGGCAGCCAGTGAGGCAGCAATGGGGGAATATAAAGTCTAGCCCCATCAATTCTGGGGTACTATTCATGCTCCCACGCTCCCAGTGGGACCAGGTGGGCAGGGCTAGACTCCTGCTGAGCCCCTTCCCCAGCCCCCTCTGCCCCCCCCGCTGTCTGCTCGCTTCTCTTGAGGGCCAGTCTCCAGGGAATCACCTGCACAGTCAGGCCATGTCAGGCTCTGCCTCCAGGGAACCTGAACTAAGGTGATGTGACTGGCAGAGAGGCAGGGAGACCATGCCAGACAGACATCTGAAAAACTCTGCCCCACCCCCGCAGAGCTTCTTGAGAACCCAGCAGTTTAACTCGTGGAAACAGAACCCTGAGCCACTGGTCCCCCCGTGACCCGCATAACCTAGCATGGACTCTGGCATTTAGAAAATGGAGAATCCAACAGAGCTGCCGTCCTCCCACCTGCAACTCAGCTGTGCCCTTCCCACAGCCAGGGTCTACGGTGGGACTGTGCATTCTCCAAGGGCAGGAGAGTTGCAGCCAGAACCTACCCACAAGGGACGAGGTGGCCAGGGCTGCCACGTTGTAGTTGCTGGGGCAGGACCTGGAGTCGGACAGGTAGCCGTTGGTGGTCTGGAAGCACCTCTGGAGGAAGGGGCAGGAGGAGTGAGCAGGGTGGGCCAGGCTGCTGGCCTACATCCCTCCAGTCCCACCCATCCCGTCTCCCAGACCACCAGGTCCTCTGGCCAGTGGGCAGGGACAGGGCAGCTCAAGTCAGGGAGATCCTACCAACTCCCACAGGACCACCCCCACCCACTGTTTCATCAGAGTCCTTTCCCCCAGGGCCAGCAGGACTGTGTGCCTGGGCTGGGCACAAAGGATAGAGGGATGGGGATGTCAGCCGGGGCTGGCTAGACTGGGGGACACACAGTGCACTGACCTGCCAAGGATCCCAACAGAAATCCATCTGTTTGTCCTAAAACAAGAGGAGAGAGAGGATCAGGTAGGGCCTGGCACGCTGTCCTGGCAGATGGCCCGAGTCCTGCGGCCCTTGGCGGGGATGGGGGTCAGCCTTCTGGTGCTCCGTGAGGTCGGGGTCTGTCCTCTAATGGGTCATGCTCTGGTGTCCCCCGGCATGCAGAGTAAGAAGGAGGGGGTAACAGTGGTGCTGGGAGGAGAGGCAGCGGGTGCAGCTTATAGAGCGGGCTTGGGTGTGGGCTCTCACTTTGCCAAACATGTCTCCTCCTCTGCAAAATGGTGACAATGTCATTCACCTCACGAGCTGTGGTGAGGCCTAAATAACATAATGGAGGCTGAGAGCTGAGTGTGCTGCTTAGCAGGAGGGGTGTGCTGGTGGGGGGAATGGTAATTACATCAACTGGTGGGTTCATGCCACAGACCCTAAGGCAAGGGTGGAAATTATGCACCAGAATTTGGGGTCCTTTGTGATCCTTAGTGACATCTTCTAAATCAAT